ATTCAATGGATAAGGATAAGTCCGATATGCGAAGCTGAGCCTCGCCCGGGCTATGGGGGAGCCCGGCCTGTGCCGACTAATGTCGACTCGCTAACAGTGTGTCAGCAGGTGCTGACTCGGATGAGGTTAGTCCTTACCCACCGTGTTGCCCAACCACAGCAGTAACCCCCAGGCGACAATTGCAACTTCTCGCGCCTGGGCGGGGCGCGAACCGCCGACCCCTCGGATGAGAGGCCGACACGTTACCACTGTACTAGCCCGGAGGCTTATTCAATGGATAAGCCAACATTCCCTGTCTTAAGCAAATATAAGCCTTAAGATAGTAGTTGGTCCACAAACCCTGCAGAAGGGTTAAGATAGTTACAGTGCACTTAACTTGAATGATATTAATTAAATTACTTTACACTGTAAATTACTTTCATGAATTACTGTGTAATTTTTTTTTTTCTCCTCCCGATAAATAGATATTGTCAAAGCCATTTACAACTATATAGCATTGTTGTTTTATTCATCCATTTAAGGGGAAAAGGTGAATAAAATACAGAGCTCTGCTGAGCTTCATAAGTATAAGTATAAGTATAACATTAGTGTACAGCACTAATATTTACATAAGCATTATGTATGTATGCAATATATAGGGATACATGACCTATATCATTATATAAAGTAACTAAGACTCATTATTATATATAAAATAATTATGAATTTATCATATGACATGCAGTCTTTGAAAAGACCATGCATGAAAAATAAATACAACCTGTGGACACTTCTGCAGGCTATAGGTACCATAGATATAGATAATCCACCACCTTTTTACTAGTGATTTTTATTTGATCATTTGCAAAGATAATGCACATAATTAACTGCACACAAACTCTCTGCTGGTTCTTTAAACCCAGCTGCCATTTTCTTAAATGTATTAAAGAAAATGATATTGGACTTTGGGGTATCTAATAATTTTTCCTTTACATGAAAATTGGTTTAGTCCTATTATATGAGGATAATTCAAACATCCTCATATGATGTGCAGGTGATTGCAGACATATAAACCTCCTTGAATATTATACTTTCCAGCAGTTGCAATTTTCGTGTGCCTCAAAAGTGATTGATGGCATTTATAAGAGTATTGGAATGTGAAGGCGTATTGCAGCCAGTTTTTGAATTTCAGATAAAAACGGCAAAATGTAGATTACAGTAAAGGGGAAAAAATGCCCCCAAAATAGTTGACAATAGCTGAAAGTCACCCTCCCAAAAATGATGGAAATGAAAAAAATCAGGCCCTGACATGCATAAAGTTGATACACTCGTAAATATTTTTTAGCAATTGCAGGGGATGGTACTGTGAACTGTAAAGATTTTTTTTTTTTTTTTTTTTTTTTTTTTTTTTTTTTTTTTTTTTTAGGGGGGGGGGCTTTTTATTAGGTAGTGGCATGAAAATGATGTATGTAATGAAGTGCAATTTTATACTATGGTACACACACAAAAAAAATTGTTTAGTTATCAAAAACCATTTTCATGATAAAATGTGTAAAGCAATATTGGCATCACCTGGAATGGTCACCTTAAATCACTGTGATAAATTTTGTACTGAAATACTCAGTATCATTGAGTGGCTTTTTGTGAGGTTGTGCACTGCTAGTTCACTGCTTTCATTTGATGTTTGCAATAGTTCTGTATTCTCTCAGTCTAAATTGGTTCACAAAAGTATGAATAAGTGCACAGTTTACAGCCAACTTTGGAAGACATACCGAGTCTCCCAGACCACAAACTATCAATCACTCCTCGACAGCTGTAAATAAGTAAATAATTTATATTTATTCATCTAAATAAATAAATAAATAAATAGTGCTACAATCAAGACTCAAACAACCATCTGAAGGGGGTCCATCAAAATGATTTTGGCTCCCTATAACAAAAATGGCTGATCTGCTTAACCAATAGCTGTAATTTAAAAAAGATGGCCAGTGGCCAGTATTGCAGGGTTGTTGGCAGTTTCCCTCTCTGTGCCAGGCTCATTTGTTTTTTCAAGTACAAAATTAGGCAACAAATAGCTTGTAGCTGTAACTTTTATTGTTTGCCTTCACTTTAGGTGCCTGTATCTTATAGTGACACCAAACAAATAATGTTGTTACTATCAGAGAAAGACAAACTCACGCTGTGATGAGTTGATTTCATACCATTTTGCTTACAGGGTCAAATACAAAATATTTTTATTGTTTATTTAGTTAATATATTGTTTGCACATTTGTGCATGTGCATTAATAACTACTGGAGAAATAGAATGCTTTATATATTGTTATTGTATTATTGGGGCAATTACCAATTTTCTTAATAATGATTTTCCTTTCCCAGATCCTACTCCAGACAGGCCAGTTTGAGGCAGCTGTGGAATTTCTCAGCAGAAAAGAAGCTCTGCGTTGCCATGCTGTTCATGTGGCCCTAGCTTTGCACGAGATGAACCTGCTTGCCCTGCCAGAACAGGTCCATGCCCCCATGT